AAAAAAAAAAAAAAAAAAAGGGTGGTGACCAGGCCTCAGGAGGTGCCCGTAGGGGATTGCGCCACCTCAGGATGGCACCATGGCACCATGACCTATGCTAATGCTCAGATTGCAAGTCGTGATCTGCGTCAACGCTTACCAGACTAACCCGAACGTCTTCATGCAGACACTACCCTAACTCTAATGTTAAGGACGGCCCTGGCACAGGTGGGGTCCATGCATATGCAGTCATACCCCATCTGTGCCTCATCCCCCGGACTCTATGGGCAGTGAGCCACCCTTCCTCTAAGATGCGATACCCCGCCCTCCCCTATCCTAAGCATGATGCCTTCCTTTTTTTTCTTTTTTCTTTTTTGTGAAACTCGCCCCCACCAGTGTTAGTGGTGCTGATAAGAGCAGACACCATTAGCACCTGGGGAGAGGCTCCATCTATTGGTGGGGAGCATCGCCTGCTGGAAAACGGATCCAGCGTCCCATATACAGACTGAATTTGGAGTATATTAGAAAAACAATTGTGGGAGATTCCTGCCAGCATTGATTACCCCGGGATCCAGGGGATTGACTGAGCAGGATATTGGAGAGAGGGAGAAACCTCTTCAGCCTGGACCCGGCGCCAGATACCTGCTGTTACACACCTCCCCCCACCAGCCCCACTCCCAACTGTCAATTCCTTATGATGTCTAAAGATGTAATTAGCAGACTCCCCCATTTTTGAGATACACCTTTATTGATATCAGGACCCAGCAGGCCCCGACCCTCTCTTCCTTTTCCTTTGTCCCATGCCCGTTATCTGTTTCACTGCTCCCCCCTTCCTCTCTAGTTCCCGAACCACCTCAATCGGAAGGAGGGGGGAAGGGGTCAGGTCCGTCAGGGAAGTCATCAGCTGGTCTCATTGGGGTTGTGGGGTCCACCTTGGTCCACTCGTGAACTTAGCCGGTAGTCTTTGCTCGGCCCATTCTCCTCTTGGTCCTTCCCTTGAACACTGTTCCTTTCCACCTTCCCTATCTTTCCCCCTTTTTTCCCCCCAAGCCATCATGTGTAGAAGTCCTGGAATTTTTGGTCTATTTTCTGCTGTGTATGTGTATAACGAATTTGAGCTTTAACATCTTCCCAGTGTGTTGTTATCTCTGTTTGGATTTGTTGTTGCATGCTTTCTGTGAATTCGGGGCCTTCCAGTCTCACCCCGTCCATCTCATATGTGCACCGGCGTCTCCAAAGTGCCCATAGCACCGCCTTACGTCCCAGTTTAAAGATGTTATGGGTGAAGTCATCCACCTGTTCTGCAAGCCATGTTTCTAGTAGCAATGCTCTCCAATCCCATGGCCAGGGTGTCATTACGTCAAGCTGGTCCCAGACCCTGTCCCACCAGCGGCAGAGCCAGATTGCTCCCGGACATTGCAGGAGAATATGTTCTATCGTTTCTGGCCTTTTCCTGGATGAGAAGGAATTGGAGCATAGTTTGCACCAGGGAACAGCCCGCCCACTTTGTTCCAATGATGTGCTGTCTATTAGCCAATCATTCGTTGGTAGGCAGCGGTGCTCTGCCTGCCATTGGAGGAAGGTCAGTTTTGCAGGTTTCGTCTTTCCTGGCTGAAACCATTTGACCTTCCGGAGTGATTCCTTGCTTATGTTTAGATGCTTCATCCATCTATTTTCTAGCCGGTCTCGTAGATTAGTCATGGGACGAAGCAATCTGTATGTTGTCTTGACTGTTATGCTGTGTAGTTTTCTATTGTATGTCTTGCCCCTTCCGGAGGAAGATGTCCATGTCCATTCCTCTGGGTCAAGCGACAGTTGAGCGATCGGAGTGTTTGGGAGGAAGGCAACCCATTTATCCCTGTTCTCCAGCACTTCGATTCGTGACAGTTCCTCATTTTGGTAAAAAAGTGTTTCTTTTGGCGCAGGTCTATGTAGGGTGTTGTCGTTGCCCAATTTAAATATATCGACAACCACCGGTCCTTTGGGGCTGCAACATACCACATTGCCTACCTCTCCCAGACTGCCCGGGATTTGCACCCAGTCAGATTCCTGCAAAGTGGGTTCCTTCCTAAGTATTTTCCACCAGCTCAGGGGGATCTGTTCTATTATGTCCTCGAGTGCAGCTTCCGATCTATGGCTATATCTCAGTTTTTGTTTGAGCTGGTCCTGATCGATCCAGTCTGTCGTGGTTGTATCCCAGATATCTCTTATTCTGAGTACACCCCTCTTCACCCATACATGTCAGGGGGAGTCCGTACAATAGAGGAACCGACACCTGGCGTCAACAATCCTCCTGTTCTCAAAAAGGGGCTGTCGTAATACTTTGTCCCATCTCTCTGGGTGAATTTTGTCAGGCAGGGGGAGGTTCCTCCATGTCCTCAGAAGGGCTGGCCAGAAGTGATCGTTTCGCAGATCCTCCTTCGCCTGTTCCCTTGGTGAGTTCGGGCTCTGTTGTCGATGGTGCCCTCTCGGTATTGGCCAACCCTGTTTTGTAGCCATGTTAGTGGGTTGATATCTGATGCTGTTTCGGGGGCCAGTCTTGAGATTTGTTCTAAGGCTAGCCCCTTCCATGGGGTGTCAAGACAAAACAAAAGTCGTTTGAGCCCTTCTATCCCCAAAGCCTTGGTTTGTATTGCTGGGTCAATTATGCTCAGTCCACCTTTGGCTTTTGGCTGGATTATGGATTGCCATGCAACCCTGCTGATCACCTTGTGTTTTTATGGTCCCCCGCCATAAGAATGCGGCTATCTGTTGTTGGAGTGGGCGGAGGGCTGTTTTGTCTAGCGCCCAGATGGCCAATCTGTACCACAGGAAGGCCAACACCACATTGTTTATCACCAAAGAGCGCCCCATCAGTGAAGTGTGTCTTCCTTTTTATTTTTTTCAACCCTCTGATGCTGGTAAGAGCAGACAACACCACCACCCGGGGAGAGACTCCATCTATTGGTGGGGAGCGTCACCTGCTGGAAAACGGGTCCAGCGTCCCATAAACAGATTCTACCCTTGGTTCCCCAAGAATCCACAGTCCCGACTAACTCCCCCAATGAGAATTCCCACGGACCCCAATCTGGATGAAGCACCACCCGCAGGCATAGTGAGATACCTGTGGGACTTACTATGTATTTCACACTTCCAAGCTTGCACCTTTTGCTGGGACTGACAGATTCCCATCAAGGAGATCAATGCTGCCCCCAACCATGGATGACTAGGTGGACGTTGACGACATTCTGGATCATGGAGAACTGCCTCTTCCAAAGCCTGTTGGCAGAGGAAGGCCATCAAAACCTACCAGAGAGTACCGGGTCAGATTCAGGCATCACACGGATCCAAAGGAAGACTGTTGGTGCACAAAGGAGGAGCTGATCAAAACAGCACCTCGGGTCGTTGCTGAATATTAACGAGAATGAAGGGGAAAGCACCTGCGTGGAAGCATCTCAACGGACTTTCGAAGCTAAGGAGGAGGGAGTGCGAGGAATGAGCCCTCACTGTGGTCTTTTAGCAGCAACACCCGACAAACGAGGGGACCCCGAGCAAACCTTGTGCCGGCCCTAAGTGAAGGTGGGCCAGCATGATTTCAATATGAGGCCCTATTTTTCTCACTTCTGCATGCGGGGGCGCCAGACAGTTACCGCACACCAGGTGGTTACAAAGCCATGCCAGTGTGAGTGCAACATTTCGAGCCTCTGGGCTCTTCCTAGCTGCGACGTCGCTAGAGGCGTTTCGGCCAATGGGAAGGCAGTATGTCACGCTGGCCACGTCGCGTGTCGTGGGCCCAGGCCACTGTCTGCACTGGCCCTGGGCGCAGACACTTTGGCCCGACGGCAGGCTACTGGCCACGAGCTCGCCAGACCCAGGACGCAGGGAAGCAGAACTCACTTTCCAAGTTTCCATATAGGAAAGTGAGTGCTCAGGCCATTCTGCCTGTGAGCTCTACGCGGCAGCGCTGCTGGATCATAGTGCTGGGAGGCCGCTAGGCAGTCAGGCTGGAGGGCGCACGCGGGCGCACGGTGGTGTAGGGCGCTGCAGAGGCAGTGGGCGCACGACGGCCATAGCCTGGCTGCATGGGTGCAGGCTGTGGTCTTCGGGCGTCATGGCGCACATTGTGGGAGAGGTGGGGGATGAGGTTGAGAGTGAGGAGAGGCACGTACCTGGTGTATGCAGCAGTCTGCATCGACGACTTCGTCATGCACATTGGTGTTCAGCTTGAAGTGACTCCTGTTGCAGATCGTAGTGTAGGGTAGAGTAGGTGCTGAGTAGGACAGGCTGGGAGGTGAGGGCCAATCTAGAAGGGCGACACTGGATACTATGTTGGTGGTGGTGAGAGAGGGCCGGCATTGACATTTGAGTTCATTGTATTGCTCTTAGTTGGCTTTGTATCTCGGTGCATTGTGCTTTCTGTTGGGTACACGACTATCTGGTCTTCAGCGTGATATATTGTAATTTGGTTTTCTGTCTGGTACCAGAGCT